TTTTTTAAAATTCAATATCAGTATTTACCTACTAAGATGTAAAAATACACCTATTAAGTTGAATGCCAGATTGTTTGCAGTGACTTTCATCTTTGAATTAAGGGTATAGAGTCACAGTTCTTAAGGGTATAGAGTCGCAGATAGTTGTGATCAGATGGTTCCGTATATGATAAATTATAAAACACGAAGCATGAAATGTTTAAGTTAATATTTTAGTCATGTGCACTGACAGAAAATCTTCAACCAACAGTCTCCTACTGCACTGAGAAGATCCAGGCAAGAAGCATTAAATTAATGTAAACTAGTGAGTAAAATTTTGAAAAAATAAAAATGTATTATGTAGTCTCAAATATCTCTCCACAAACTACTTACCAATTTAATAAAGGAAAACAGTAACATTACAGTAAAGACAGCTGGCAGACATCACCTTGATCAAACGGTTCAAGTTAACATCACTGGCCTAAACTGAGATAGTGTGCTTCCCGATACCTGCACTGAGGGGGACAGACATCACATGTGGTGTTCCTGCCAAAAATGCCTCACTTGAATCTAACAGGAGGAAACAACTAAGAAAGACTAAAAAGATAAGACAAATGTATCACAAGCTACTGTAGATTAGATAATAGTACTAAATTAAATGTCCCCTTTTGATAATTGTAATATGGTTATGTAAGAGAATATCCTTGTTCTTAAAGGAGAAATTTAAATATTTAGAACTAGAGGTGTGATGCCTACAATTTATTCCCAAAGAGTCTATAAAAATGTAATAATAATAATAATAATAATAATAATGTATATTAAATCTTCAGGTCTCCTTTCTTCAGACTAAATAATTCAATTATTTTAACCTTTTAAGTCTATATGAGACAAGTTGCTTGTTTTAAACAGAAATTTTGAAAGATTTTAAAAAATGATTTGTAGTCTCAATTCAATTTAATAAAAAAAGTATTGAGGCCCTAGCTGGTTTGATTCAGTGGATAGAATATCAGCCTGCAAATTGAAGAGTCCCGGGCTCGATTCCAGTCAAGGGCACGTACCTTGGTTGCAGGCTCTTCCTCAGCCCAGGCCCTGGTCAGGGTGCATGTAGGAGGCAACTAATCGATGTGTTTCTCTCACATTGATGTTTCTCTCTGTCTTTCCCTCTCTCTTCCACTCTCTCTAAAAATCAATGGAGAAATATCCTCAGGTGAGGAGTCAAAAAAAAAAAAGTACTGAGGCCTGGCTGGTATGGCTCAGTGGTTGAGCACTGACCCATGAACCAAGACATCCCCAGTTTGATTCCCAGTGAGGGCACATGCTCGGGTTGCAGGCTCAGTCCCCAGTAGGGGGTGTACAGGAGGCAGCCAATCCATGTCTCTCATCGGTGTCTCCATCTCTCTATCCTTCTCCCTTCCTCTCTCTCTAAAAAAATAAAAAATAAAAATCAATAAAAACATATTTTTTAAAAAAAGTATTGAGTACTTATACATAGACACCCTATATTCAAAGAGTTCACAGTCTATTGGAGAAGGAAAACATGCATATAAGTAATTACAGTGTATGAGTAGCATATAATAAGTACCAAAATGAAGTATAAGAGAGTACTAAAGGAATATTAAGAGTGATTAATTCTGACTACTACATTAATATTATTTAACATTTACTTTTTACTAGGCACTGTACTAATTGCTTTATATACTGGGTTGGGCAAAAGTAGGTTTACAGGTGTTCATATGGAAAAAATGCAATAATTAATAAGTAATAATATAAAACTAAAGTCTGTGTTTCACATACCCACAATTATAAACCTACTCTTGCCCCACCCTGCATTAATTCATTGGTCATACCAGCAATCTCATAAAATAGGCACTATTATCCCCATTCTACAGATGAAGCAATTGAGGCATAGAGAAGTTGAGAATCTGGGTATACAGGTTATGTAGCTAGTCAGTAGTCCAGGTTTTAAACTCAGGCAGGCTGACTTCATGCCCATGCCGAAGACTTAATGAAAAAAACAAAACAAAACAAAAACCAAACAGCATTGGAGTTAAGGGAATAGTACATAAGATGTGGAGAGAGAACGGGTGAGAACAGAGAAGAGAAGATTAGATAAGCTTAAGAAATATATTAGACTCCATGATGAGTATCAATACAGACTTTGTTAGTAAAGAGAATGATTTTTATATGTTTCAAAATCTTGATGTAATTCAATGAATTCAGTATAAGGAGTCAGTCTTTGCAACATCCAAATGAACCAAATACTAAGAATAAGTTATTGCAATTCAATTTCTTCTTTAAAAAAAAAAAAGTACTAGAACACAATCATGACTTTCACAGTGACCTCCACACCCCTAAGTAAATAATAAATTTAATTTCACAAAAATCCTATTACCATGTCACCAGAACTGAAAACAGAAAAACAAAATGCTATAATTCTGGCTTAGTTTAACAAGACTATAAACTTTTTAAGAAACAGTAAATGAAATGTGAGTAGACCATGTATCTCCTCTGTGATAAGTTCATCTTTGTCATAATATTTATGTAAACAAGGTGATCCATTATAAGGATATAATGAGTGATTAATTCCAGAAGCTTCATTAGATATGCACTCTAACCAGTGAAACAATCAGACATGAATGCTTAATGCAGACTTCTGAGTTGGTAATTGATTGCTCATATAAATAATTAAAAATGTTATTTTGGCCTCATAGTAAATTATGAATAAGCAAAACATGTGGTACTTTTAAACTCTATTTTCATTTTTTGATAGATATTAATGAAAATTAGATTTTTATTTTAGTAAGCTATAGTAAACTCTAGGTTTAATTTGTTCAAAATCTATACTATAGTCAAAGAGTATACAAAATCCAATTACAAGTAGAATAAAAACTGTTAAACTTTTTCAAATGTTTTCAAACAAGTTTTTCAAAATCTCAAAAATAGTTATAATTAAAATATTAACAAGGTCATTAGTTACTATTTTTATATACTTAATAAAAGACCAAAATTGAATTTTTATTTATTTTTTTATTAATCCTGATCCAAGGATATTTTCCCATTGATTTTTAGAGAGAGTGAAAAGGAGGGAGAGAGACAGAGAGAGAAATATCAATGTGCGAGAGAGACAGCAATTGGTTGCCTCCCGCATGATCCCTGATCAGGGCCCGGGATCGAGCCTGCAACTAAGGTATGTGCCCTTGACCAGAATCGAACCAGGGACCCTTCAGTCATGTTCTAACACTCTAGCCACTGAGCCAAATTGGCTAGGGCTTGAATTTTATTTTAATACAATATTGATGCAGAGTTTTTAACTGCTCAATAAAATCTGTTTCCATTCTGAAAGAATCCTAAATTATTTTCTTGACAGAACAGAACTGACCAGTGAGATTCAGGCAATATTAGGAAGTATCACAGAAGAGAATATGAAAAAGAAAGGCACATGATTTCAGAGAGCATTTGAAAATCAAGTTATATTTGGCTTAGTATAAAACCAAAGAGCACATAAACGATTAAAGAAATATCACACTGAGTTATAAAACAGCTCCCCACATAAAAATATCTAAAATGATATTTAAAATTCAAAAATCATCCTTTACATTTCTAATTGGATTTCTGAGAGTCAGAGAAAAATCCATCAGGCCTTTAAAAGGGGTTAAGAAACTAAAAAGCAGTACAATAATTTTGAACTGATACCACAGCTGCCTGGAAGGTGTTTGCTAATAATAAGAATCTAAGCTTCCAAAGTAAGACAAAGAAGAGAGGCTAGTCCTTGATCCCTATCCAGCATGGTGACAAGTTGGAACTAGTATCACTACATTAAAAGAGAAACTTGAAAACTTATATTCCCTATGAAAAGGTGCATTTAAAAAAAAAAGTCCACTCAACAGCAAAGGAAAATGATAGGTAACTTGTTTGTTTAAACCTTAGCTCCTGATAGAAAATGTTGAGGAATCTCAAGCTGAAAAATTAATGCTAAGTGGTCTTAAAATATCTTGAGATGCCTGGCAAAGCAACTATCAACCCCTTCTATGAGAATTTATTCTTAACTTCACAAAGCCCCACAAGATTCCAAAAGATTTAGGTAACCTAAAAATGAATTCACAATCTAAAATTACAAAACTAACAGGAAAATAAGAAAACATGAGTAAATCAACAGAAATAACAAATAGAATTATATCTCTATTGATATCAGCTATTAGAAATAACAAATATACTATAAAATAACCATGTTTAAAAAATTATAAAAAGAGGAAATTGAAACATGAGCAAGGAAAACAAACCAAATATAATTTATAGCAATGAAAAATATATTTAACTAAAAACCTAATTATAAATATATATATTTTTACAAACAACATTTTAACAATTGGGGGAAATAATTATGGACTAATTATTAGATGATCAAGGAATTTTTGTTAATTTTTATTATGTGTCATAATGATTATTTAAGATGTAAAAATTTTTTAGCTGTCTGTACTGTAATCCTGATCCAAGGACATGTGCCTGGGATTTGCTTCAAATGCTTTAGCAAAGCAAAAAAGGAATACATGAATGTTAGAAAAATGTTAGCAAATGTTAGAAAAATGTGGGAAATATTAAATCTGAGTAATTTATACAGTGGGGCCTTGACTTACGAGTTTAATTCGTTCCGTGACAGAGCTCATAACTCAAATTACTTGTATGTCAAATCATAAAGTGAACAAGTGAGACATGTGATGCTGGGCTGATGTTGTGGTGGGGTATCTGAAGCTGGCTCGTAACCCGAATTTTAGCTCGCAACTCAAAGCAAAAAATTGGCCGAGAGACGGCTCGTATCTTGAAAAACTCGTTAGTCGGGACACTCGTAAGTCAAGGCCCCACTGTACATGTAAAAATTTTATAATAAAATAAAAACTTAATGAAGATAGAATAATCAGAATTTTAGATATAGCCAAAAAGAGGATTATAAAATTAGAAGGTAGAAATGAAGTAACTATCCAGATTATGAGTAAGATTTAAAGGAGAGAAAAAAACAATCTCACCTTCCTTTGGGCTCACTGCTGCAGGAAGACTACTCCAATCAATGGTCCAAGTAGGACAAGGGTGAGGAGAAAACATCACTTCAATGCCTTTTTCCTAGAAAAGGAAATAGGCCCTTACCAAATTAATGAATTAATTAAAATCCTACTATGTATTACAAGGCCAAATTTCTATTTTCTATACTAGCAAGGAAGAACATAAACATCAACAATCACTGGGTTTTCCTCAAGATATTTGGTTACATAAGAAATATAACAAAGTTTTTTTTACAGCAATTACTTTCCTTTTTTTTTACACTGAGATAATAAAAAGTAATGATATTGAAAAACTATTACCTGAAGATACATAGAAGTAATGAACTACCTAGAAATATATTGTGTGTCTAAGAGAAAAGTCACCTGAGGATAAAATTTTATCAAAAACAACTCACACAGAGATGATAAAAAAAACACACGATTCTGCTTATATCCATTAATATCTATCTGTGTTTATAGGAAACTGCCACAACCTAGGAGCTCTATCTAACAGGACTAAAAAGCCTCACTTCAACATATGCCTCTAAAATATCATCTATACCAGTCTTTTACACATGTCAGCAATGTCTCTAGAAAAGAATTCCTCTGGTTTAACCAAGCAGTTCCCAACTTTTTCAATATATCAAAAATATCTCAGACTTCTTTCCCATGTTAAAAGATGTATGTGTCTTTATTTGATCAAGAGACAGTGGCATGGCCCTAACCGGTTTGGCTCAGTGGATAGTGTCGGCCTGCGGACTGAAGGGTCCCAGATTCGATTCCGGTCGAGAGCATGTACCTCAGTTGCGGGCACATCCCCAGTAAGGAATGTACAGGAGGCAGCTGATTAATGTTTCTCTTTCATTGATGTTTCCAACGCTCTATCCCTCTCCCCTCCTCTCTGTAAAAAATCAATAAAACATATTTAAAAAAAAAAAGAGAGAGAGAGAGACAGTGTGGCATGGCATATACATGGATGCCCTGACTCCTACCAATCAAATTCTGGGTCCACAGCCCACAGAATATCCATGATTCATGTATTTTTCCCCCCCAGTAATATCCTATTCAAAAGAAAAATCCCCAAGAATCTATCATGAACCCTTTTATATCAATTAGTTCATGAGATAACTTTCCATTATGAAAACTAGCTAAATTCTTATCTCAAAGGAAATAACATAAAGATTTTTTTTGGTTGGGGTAGAGATATAGCTGTATAGGTCTAGAGGTTGAGAGTAATCACTTTACCTCTCTCCTATCTTCCTTATTCTAGTCTAGCCATATTGGACTTCTTGCTGTCCTTCATTGATTATTTTGGAGTATTTTAAGACTATAGCTATATTGACATATAATTTATATGTCATAAAATTTACCTTTTTAAAGCACACACTTCAATGGTTTTTAGAATATTCACAGTTGGGCAACCATCATCACCATCTATTTTGAGAACATTTTCATCACCTCATAAAGCAGCCCCATACCCATTAGCAGACACTCTCCATCCTCCCCCCTCAGCTTCTGCCCTAAGCAACCACTAATCTACTTTGCCTGTACAGATTTTCTCAGGGTCTTTTTTGAGTGGAATCCTCTGCCTAGAACACTTTCTCCAAATCTTCAATTCATCCAGGTTATTAGCTCAATGTCTTCACCTAATCAGATAAGTCTTTTTGACCATCCTACCTAAATAGGACTCCTACCCTGATCACCTCCACTCTCTTATCCCACATTATTTTTTTACAGCACTTATTGCCTAATATGTTTTTTCTTTATTTATTTCCACCACCAGAATGTAAGCACCATATAACAGTCAATTTGTTCTTCATGTATCCAATATTCAGACCACTGCCTGATATTTAGTAGACACATATATATTTTTTGGACTGAATAAATAAATAAGTACATTTCAAACTTCTGGAAAATTGTGGAGGTAAGAGTATGCCAAAGAATATGGAAGGGGGGGGGGGGAAGTGAGATGTGAGTGTTCTTAAGAAATACTTTACTGTCTTATACTTGCATTAGCACCAATTTAATGTGTCCTTGTGTAATTGGCACAAAATACTATGACTATACAAAAATGAAAAGTTACTGTATAATTAAAATCAATATAATTTCATAACAGATTAATTTGATATAATATTTACTGCCTTCCAGAAATACGTGTCAATAGAGAAATCTACTAGTAAGTAGCAAAAACCATGCCCTGTTGAAAAAAAGAAATCTTATTGTATCTACAATCAAGTTTGAACTAAATGAAAATGAAAATTTTAAATTATTTTCAGATTTGAACATTCTTTATAAAATTATAAGTGTAATGTCCCAGTTAATTTTTTACAACCATAAGATTTAAAATAAAAAATGAATCATACAGAATGTCTACTATACTCTCCTAATTTATAAATGCAGGAATTTATATCTTTTAGTAAAATGACTTACTGAAGGTCACAATGTCAGCTTAGCTGCAAAACAGAGACTAGAATCCAAGTCACTGATCCCTAGTCTAATCTTCGCTCCCAAGTCAATGACTAAAAGTGGTAGGGATACTAGGGCAGATCCATTCCTGAGAAACTATCTGACAGATAGTCCAGGTTTAAGGATTCCCCACTGGCTTGCCAAAACTTTCTTAGAATTGCACTTAAGTGTAAATTTTCAGACCCAACTTTCCTTCCTTTCTGATCTCATGTACAGCGGTCAAACCTGCATCATTAAGGAAGGCTCTGCCAGCCTCTCCGGGCTCCCTCCCCACTTTCTCTCACAGATTTTTCCTCACTAGGCCTCTTGCATATCTAATCTTACCTTTCAGTTGAACCCTTCTTGGAGGACCTGAACTAACAAATCCCCAGTAAATTAAAAATTCAATATCCCTTCATATTTTTATATCATTACAAAAGAGTTTATTTTTATAATTGTTTATTAACTTGTTCTGAATTTATATTTTAGTTTTTTAAAAATATTTAAAATATTTTTAAATGTATAAAATGCAGAAGTCTTGTCTAATGTCATTTTATTTCTGGAAAAGCATAGGTAGAAAAATCAGAATTACTAATCTTTCTTTCAAGACTGCACATGTATGAATTAAAAGCCCAAATTTTTGGTTGATAAATCTTAAAAATACTAAAACTTAGTATTTTAATACAAAGTAGATTACTCTACTAATTATTATTTACTTAAGAACATTCAGAAGGTGAACAGCTTAACCATTTGATCAAGGCACATCAAAGTTTGGACATGCCTTGAAAGCTTCTAAAATCAACTTTATAATCCTGTTTCATTGTTTCATCACTAGGCTAACAAGCTGAACTGAAAAAATAAGGGACTGGTGTTATTACTAAAATCTTCTCACGCTTTTTTAAATCCCCAAATGTGTGTTAACTATAGAACACAAATGATTCCTAACCCAAGTAAAAAAATATAAGAATATTTTTTCAGTACAACTCAGATGAATAGCTCAAATTACTTCATGAATTCTCTATTCAAATAAATCTTCAAATAGTCTAAGTTACAAGCAAAACATTATTGTAGATTGTCTTGAATGGTAGAGAAAGAAAGCCTATTGGTGAAAACTTTTACAATTACTATGAACTAGAAACAAATTATGCTGCAAAGAGAAAAAACTATAAATCATGTGTTATTAAATAAACTAGCACTGTAATCAAAGAATAAGATAAAAACAAACTTCAAAGAATTTAAAAATCTTAAATTAAAAAATGTTAGAAAGTTGAGATATTCATCCTCATATTTCTTTAATTTAAATCATCATCTCAAAATTTAAAAAAAACTTGAAACCAAATCCTTGCAACAAAAAAATACCAGGTAAAACAATAAATTTGATAGGTGTGATATGATCTTGGTGTCTTGACTATAAAAAAAAAAAAGTTTTGAGAAAAATACTGTTTAAAAACACATATGCTGACTTATTTGGCTCCAAAAACACATAATATTAAAATCCTTCAATTTAAAAAAAAAAAAATCCTTCAATTTACTATAACTCACTTCAATGCAAAAGGCTACTAGAAATATTAACTGGTCAAGAGTGATATAGGATAGCTACAAATAAGATTTATAACAAATAATGTCAACAAACGATTACAAAATAGGGTAACATTATCACATGCAATTTTTCAAAGAAAATTTTAATGAAAACAATTTAAGTACCATTAACTTGGTCATCGTGGGCCTTGGGCCTCCTATAAATGAAGGGTCATTTTGTTCCTCTGCACCTGGGGCTTCATTTACGTTTGGATGCTGTTCATTTGACGTGGTCAGCAACTCTGGTAAATGGCAAAACTGGATCCCACACTGAGAAGCGGCTGTTTTCACTCTTGGCACTTCCTGAATCCTCTGGTACCACGAGGCCAGCAGTGGAAATTCTATCAGCTTTTCAGAAAGTTTCTTGCAGATAATTAACTAGGCAGTAAAAGAACAAAATACAGCATTATATATTTTTTGTTTATGACAGCTATATTGAAGTAGCTTTATGTACCATAAAATTTACACATATTAAGTATACAGTTCAAACAATGAGTTTTAGTAAGTTTATACAGTTGTGCAACTACCAGTATAATCTAGTACTAGAACACTTACATCACATCAGAAAGTTCCTTTGTGACCATTTACAGTTCATCTCTGTTCTCTTGGTCAGTTGCAGGTAACCACTATTGTGCTTTCTATATGTATAATTTTGCCTCTTCTGAAATTTCATCTAAATGAAATCATAAAATGTGTGTTTTATTTTCTACTTAGCATTATTTTACTGAGCTTCATCCAGGTAGTTGCTTTTATTCGTAGTTTATTTCTGTTAATTATGATAGAGCATTTAATGACTTTTACTTATTTACATTGCTCAGATGCTTTCTCCTAAGCACCACCACCAAATTTCAATTTCTTTAAAAAATTAGTTTGTTCTTGCTTCTTTGTGAGGCACTGAATAGAAACAATTATATTATCTCAAATAGATTATGGCTTATGATTATGAAGATGTAAATAAGTAAAAAAGGTCAAGTTACAGAAAATTTCTACAATATCTAACAATAATCAATACCAAAGTAGAAGCCAGGCAGCACAGAAAGTTAATTTAAAAAATTCACAGGTGTATATATATTTACTCTACTTTAAGTGGACTTTAAGGTGAAATAAGCACACATAATTTCCTATAAGGGCAGGTTTTATGTTTAACTCTGTACACTGCAACACTTAAAACACTGCCTTGCAAAAAATATGAGCTGTTTAGTGAATGAAAAATGATCAAGGATCATTTATTAGCTTCAATCTTTCACACTGCTTTTTATGATCCATTAGGAGTTTGTGAAATCAACATAGATTTTTAACATATCAGGAACAAGACAAGGATGCCCACTTTCACTACTTTTAGTCAATAGATTATTGGAAGTTCTAGCCACATCAATCAGACAAGACAAAGAAATAAAAGGCATCCAAATAGGAAAAAAGAGGTAAAATTGTCATTATTTGTAGATAACATGATACTACATTTAGAAAACCCTAAAGATTCTACCAAAAAACTATTATGCAACTAATAAATGACTTCAGTAAAGTTGCAGGATACAGAATCAATATAAAAAAATCTGTTGCGTTTTTATACACTAATAACAAATGATCCGAAGAAGAAATTAACCAAAGAGGTGAAAGACCTGTACTCTGAAAGCTAAAAGACATTGAAGAAAGATATTGAACAATATAACTGGAAATAACTGGAAGGGTATATCATTATTACCTAAAATAATACATAGATTCAATGCAATCTCTACTAAATACCATTGACAAACTTCTCAAAATTAGAGCTAAACCTAACATTTATATGGAATCACAAAAGACCACGAACAAATCCAGAGAAAGAACAAAGTAGGAAATATTATGCTCCCTGATATCAAAATATACTACAAAGGTACAATAATCAAAACAGTAGGGTACTAGCCTAAAAAACAGATATATAGATCAATGGAATAGAGATCCCAGATATAGTCCTCACTTATATAGTCAATGAATGTAGGATAAAGAAGACAAGGATAGCAATTGAATAAAGACAGTCTCTTTAATAAGTGGTGTTAGCAAACCTTACATCACATAAAAAATAAACTCAAAATGAGTTAAAGACTTAAATGTTAAACCTGAAACTATAAAACTTCTAGAAGAAAACATAGGCGGTAAATTCTTTGACATCACTCTTACCAAAATCTTTTTTAATATATTTCCTCAAGCAATGGAAACAAAACAAATGAGACTATATCAAACTGAAAAAATTTTTGCACAGTGAAGGAAACCATCAAGAAAACAAGATAACCTACTGAATGGGAGAAAACATTCACAAATGATACACTGTTACAGGGCTAATATCCAGAATATATAAATAACTCATACAACATCAAAAACAAGCAGACAATCCAATTAAAAAACAGGCAGAATACCTGAATAGACATTTCTCTCAAGAAGACATACAGAAGGCAAACAGATACATGAAAAGACATTCAGCATCACTAATCAGCAGGGAAATGTAATAAAAACCACAATTGGTATATCATTTCTCACTTATCAGAATGGCTATCATCAAAAAGTCAACAAATAGCCCTAACCGGTTTGGCTCAGTGGATAGAGCATCGGCCTGCGGACTGAAAGGTCCCAGGTTTGATTCCGGACAAGGGCATGCATCTTAGTTGCGGGCACATCCTCGGTGGGAGGTGTGCAGGAGGCAGCTGATCGATGTTTCTCTCTCATCGATGTTTCTAACTCTCTATCCCTCTACCTTCCTCTCTGTAAAAAATCAATAAAATATATTTTTAAAAATCAACAAATAACAAATGCTGGTGAGGATATGGAGAAAAGGGAACCCTTGTACACTGTAGGTGGAACTGTAAATTAGTGCAACCACTATGGAACACTGTAGAGAGAGCCCTCAAAAAATTAAAAAGAGTTGCCATATGACCCAGCAATTTCACTCTGGGCATTTATCTGAAGAAAACAAAAACACTACCTCAAAAAGATTATGCACCCCTATGTTTATTGTAGCATTAATAGTAATAGCCAAGATATGGAAGCAACTTAGGTGTCCATTGTTGATGAATAGATGCATGGATAAAGAAGATGGTACAATGCAGCATTAAAAAAATTAAATCTTGCCATTTGCAAAACCATGAATGGACCTAGAGCAGTGGTTGGCAAACTGTGGCTCTCAAGCCACATGAGGCTCTTTGGCCCCTTGAGTGTGGCTCTTCCACAAAATACCACGTGAGGGCGCGCACATACAGTGTGATTGAAACTTCGTGGCCCATGCGCAGAAGTCGGTATTTTGTGGAAGAGCCACACTCAAGGGGCCAAAGAGCCGCATGTGGCTCACGAGCCGCAGTTTGCCAACCACTGACCTAGAGGTATTATGCTAAGTGAAATAAGTGAGATGAAGGCAAATACCATATTATCTCACTTATATGTGGAGTCTAAAAAAACTAATAAATGAATAAACAAAATATAATAGAAACAGACCCATAGATATAGAGAATAAGCTGATAATTATCAAAGAAAAGTAGGTAGGGAAATAGTAATAAAAAGAAGATAAAATAAAATACAGAAAATATGAATGTACACAGCATATAGTAACATGGATTATTTTATAAATATATTTATATATAACATAAAGATGTATATTTGTATTTATATGCTCAATCATCTTGGAAAATACATTTTACTGTGGAAGTTTGGAAAACACTGTCTAAATTGTGCTCTGAAAGCCAAAAAAGTTTGTAATTCTCACCAAAATTCTTAATTGAGTGGAAATAAATTACGTGCTAAGAGAATTTAGCTTAAGCTGTGATGAATTAATCAAGTAAAAAATGTTCTCATCTCCTCACCTTTCTTTTACTCTCCTTGGCAGGGACTTATTCTTGTTAGATGTATATGGTATCTTTTCTTCTTTTTGAAAATAAGTTGTGATTATGTAACAACTAGAGGCCCGGTGCACGGATCTGTGCACTGGTGGGGTCCCTCAGCCTGGCCTGTGCCCTCTGGCAATCCGGGACCTCTCGGGGAATGTCCAACTGCCAGTTTCGACTCAATCCCCTGCAGCGAGGGAGGAGCCCCAGCTGTGAGTCCGGCTTCTCCTGTTGTGGGAGTGCACTGACCACCAGGGGGCAGCTCCTGCGTTAAGCATCTGCCGCCTGGTGTCAGTGAGACAGTCATTTGGTTGTTCGGTCACTTAGGCTTTTATATTTATAGATTATTCATGCTTAAAAGAAATTGAGGAGTTTTACTCTGTGTGGCAGACCATCCATTCCATTTAATCAGCATGCCAGGCTGCTCTGCAACATCCAGACGGTTGAGGGGGCACTGCACCACATTCGTTAAATACAAGATGTATTTAAGGAAGTGGCTAATGAAAAATGTATGAAATGAAAATTAAATTTGCTCCTAAAAAAAGGTATTTTTAAAAATTTACCTGGCTGATATGATCAAAGCCATCATAAATATCACAGAGTTAATTAAGGACAAGAAAACAAGAGAATTCATTCTTAAAACAATAGTGAAAATTGTACTACCAAAAGTATAAAATGAAACTCTAGTGGCTTTGTAATAGGGGCAGCAAAATTTGTTTGCACAAAAAGAGAAGCAAAATGCTACATCTACCCAAAATATCTCCTCCTCTGCATTATTTTCCAATCACTTATATAAAACATTTTGTACTTCTTTCGTATCATTTTTAGTTATGTCTACTCTGTCAAAACATGTCATAATGAACAAATGCTTAGGTGAACAATGTAATAAACAGGGTAAGAAAATACTGCTCTTTTGTATTCTTGGCCTATTTCTGTAACCAAATATCATGGCTTAAGATTCAGCTTTCTGTTTCTGATCCAAACATGGTAACTTGACCTTGCTTCCTAATCATGAACTTGATCGTGATCTTTAGGACTGCTACTCCATCACTTCAATGTGTGTTAATGCAAGCACATAGATTCAGCATCATAGCCACTGTCTGAACTAAAATGACTGCTTCATAATCCAAGATGACTTAAACGAGGAAAATAAATATAACTAAAATAACATCAAGGCTTTGGCAAAGAAAGATTAATTCCTGAAAGAAAAGGTACAGATCCAAGAAAATTACAAGCAAACAAAAGAAAATATTTTAAGAATTAGTTTACATAGAAATGGCAAGAGAAGAATTTAATCATAGGATACATGTAATAGAAAAGGCTGAGTGTACAAGTTTCCCCCTATTTAAAATTGAGATGAAAACAAGTTTGTAGTATTAGGTAGATTGACTCAGGGGTAGTCAGTAGATGTACTGCCTGATTAAAGAGGAGGAAAAAACCTCTCAATTAGTAATACTTCAACCTCAATTGACCCTAATCAGGTAAATAGTATTTAAATTAAGCTAAAATCAAATGCAAACTAGCTGAAGATGGATGTCTGGATAATGATCTAAAATTACCTTCATGCAGGTGAATCCAATTTTTTATGTTTTGTTGAGTTTGAAAGCAAATACTCATCTTCTCTATCACCTTGTTTTATTTTCTTTGTAGCAATTACATTATTTAAATACTAGTGGTCCTGCGCACGAATCCTTGCCTGAGTAGCTCGCTGCTGCTTGCCTCCGCTGGCCACCTCACTCCTAGTTCAGCTGGTAGCTCTCCTTCGAAGGGTACCTTGCTGCCCTGCCCTCCTGCTGATCAATCCTTACACTGCCCCGCCCTCCTGTTGATAGATTGTTACACTTCAGGGTGTAATGACCATTTGCATATTACCTCTTTATTATATAGGATGTATTATTTCTTTGTTTACGTGTTCATTTCTATCTTATCCTACTAGAATATTAACTCCAAGAGGGCTGGACCTTATTTGTCTTGTTCATCACGATATTCCTAGTGCCTATAGTAGTAGGCTTTCAATAAATGTCTCAAATGAATTCATGGATGTGCCACTTTGATTCAACTTATTTATGACATTAGAAGCAATTGTAGTTATTCAAGCAGACCATCAACAGTATTTCATAACATATAATAAGTGATTGCTCTAATGACTGAAGTTGGTAATGGAGGGGAGAAGTCAGTCATAAGAGAATTTACATTGACAAGGAACAAAAACAGATTATCTTTTTCCTTACCCAGCTCAATGGACAATATGAATATATATGACCTTTAAAATACTAATCAACACCTAAACAATTCCTGAAACTTTTAATATCCTTTAATTCAGAAGTTATTTTGGTTTCTAATTTTATTTTCATTTTGAAGAAAAATGTTCTTTAAGAAAATGCCAATTGATTAATACCACCTTAGTAAAGCTCTGGCCTCCAAATATATAGATTTTCCTTAGAAGTCTTTTCTCACATGTCAGTAGAGATACCTGAAGTGTTGGTAATATACAATGAGAATGAAATCTGGTACCTGATTCCTTAGTAGGGAAAAGGTGAAATATTTCAAAGCAAGAAAAATGCAGCTCTTGAAAACCAACTGGAAAGCTGCAGAGAGATACAGCTTCCCATGTTCACTCTGATGTTATTTTCACCTTGATCTTTTTTCCTCCATACAGGGAGGGAATAGAGAATGGGGGAATGTATACATCTCCATGCCCCTATTAGGAAAGAAAACTTTCCATGTAATTTTATGGTCAACAGAGAGGCATATAGATGAGGATAAAATATTTTTGATTTAATAACAACATAATTAAATTAGTGTTTTAAGTGACAACTTAATTATAAAATATAGCTGACACGACTTTTATTATTTTTTTAATTTATTTTTTTAAAGTAAATTTTTATTGATTTCAGAGAGGAAGGGAGAGGGAGAGCGATAGAAACATCAATGATGAGAGAGAATCATTGATTGGCTGCCTCCTGCAGGCCCCACACTAGAGATAGAGCCCGCAACCCAGGCACGTGCCCTGACTGGGAATTGAACCTCGACCTCCTGGTTCATAGGTTGACACTCAACCACTAAGCAACGCAGGCCAGGCTAGCTGACAAGAATTTTAAGTGCTTGAACAGTGGAACCTCTAGTATTAGAAGAGAATCACAATAGCAATTTGAAATTACTTATCATAACAATTAATTGATAACATTTTAACAACTCAAAATTTAAAGTCATAATTATACTTATTGAGAGCTTACACTGTTGTCCACAATTTACACAAGTTATCATTTATTCCTCACACTCGTCCTATTAGATAGGTACTATTATTATATTAGCCCTATTTTACAGATAAGAAAATGGAGACAGATATTAATAATTTTCCCAGGAGCATAACGATAATAAGAAGTGGAATTGGGATTCAAACTTAAGCAATTTTATACACTGAAACTCACAGTAATGTACCCACTCCAGATCAATCTTACCAAAAAATGATGGACACAGGGCAAGAGCACGATGTCTGTCAAAGTGAAGTAAAGGCCTTCCGCAAACACATGCTCCAGAGGGGGAAGGTCAGAGGCCTTTGCTTTTCTTATGTGAGCCGGTTCCCTGGGGGTGGCAGCTGGTTCTTCCTGTACTGTGAGCTTTGAGAATGCCACTTTCAGTTCCAGGCTCTTGGACGAAGGGTCCAACTCATCAGATGTTTCCTGTCTCTGGGCCTTGCTCTTCGTTTTTTCCTTGACACCGGAAGGCCCCACTCTGGCAGCCTTCTGTTGCTTCAGCTTCTGCCGACGGAGCTTGTCATCGTTGTGCACTCTAACAGGCTCACTAAGCTTCTTCTCCAGCTGCAGTATTTCTGCAGGGATGCTTGGGCGCCGGTCAGAGGATTCTTTGAGAAAATTCTCAATAGCTAAAGGGATGGTGAGTTCACATAGCCTGGTCCACTGACTAACCTACAAAGCAAAACAAGAAATGAAATAATTCTTTATTTTCAACATAGCTTGAAGGAAAATAACTTTTTATTGGGAAATAAAGCTGGTTTAGCGAATTTGTCTTGATGTGAACCATTCCTGGGCTAGGCTATTATGCTATATGAAGACATATTTATAGTACTTCAGAAGTGATAACATCAAACATTGGAGGTTTAGCATTCATGTATCTGGAATATATGCTCTCCACCTGGATCCTCTTACTAAATAAATCCTTACTTCCCAAAGCTTTTAAAGTATACCACCACCCAAAAAAAGGTGGGTTCCCAAAGCATTGCTACTTAAACTCCTGTTCATATGTAAAAGTTCCCTTTAAAAATCCTCAATGTAATTAAAAGATTAAGAAAAAAGAAGTAATGCTCTAAAATATTATCTCCAAGCCTCATTCATTAAATCTTAAATTCATATTTTTTCAATACTGCACTGAATTATTGGCATACGTGATGGGCTACTTTATTTCTTTGGTTAGTGTAGGTTTTTTTAAGGAAATGAAGTTCTAGTTCCCAGTATAAAGTTAAATGTCTAAGTGAATGTGTAATTACTATATGGCTTTAATAACAGAAGAGAGACATTATACTTACCTCAGCACAGGCTTTCAAGCAAGTCTTTTTAAAACCCAGAAGTTCCAAAACTTCCTTCTTCGAGGGGTCTGCTTCATATGATTTCTGGATTATGTGTCTCAGCACAACAGCAAGTCCTGCTCTACAGAAATTGTCTGGTCTTTCTACTACTGCAGGTAAGCAGCAGTTCTGGACTATCGGTGGAAGCTCTTGCTTTGAAATAATCTGTACTTTGACATCCTGTGACAGTACATTTTTAAGTAGTGAAACATCTGTACTTTCTCTTGTGAGTACTAAGTAAACTTTAAAGATTTTGCAGTCACAGTATGATAACAAAAATAAAGTTACAGATGTATGAAGTGGAAAAATGCATCCTTCTATTTGGTGAGAAAAGTCCAGGTACAGATATTCTTCTGTAAGACTTTTCTTAATGCCTTTCATTTTCTTCTTTCATTGGTTCACCTGAAGCATAAATGGAAGTGGTTATAGGCCTTAGAATATAATAATTTAGAAGCTAATAGATGAAATTTTTAAAGCATGTTCTAAAAATCAGCAAGGATTTGTGATAGATAAGATTCTACATGAATTTGTTCCTGGATTGAATAAATGGCTTCCAAAACAAAGATTTCCACCTGTGCAATTAACTAATCTTTGGGATGATTTTATACCTAGCTCCTTTAAAATGAGCAAACTCGGCTTGGCTGGTGCTAAGTGGTTAGAGCATCGGCCGGTGAACTAAAGGGTCCCAGGTTCGATTCCAATTCCCGATTCCTGGTTGGTCCGGGGCACATGCCTTAGTTGCAGGCTCATTCTGGCCCCTGCCAGAGCCTGTGTGGGAGGCAACCAATCAATGTGTCTCTTTCACATCCCTGTTTCTTTCTCTCTGTCTCTTCCCCTCACTTCCACTCTCTCAAGAAAAAGCAATGGGCCGAAACCGGTTTGGCTCAGTGGATAGAGCATCGGCCTGCGGACTGAAGGGTCCCAGGTTCGATTCCGGTCAAGGGCATGTACCTGGGTTGCGGGCACATCCCCAGCAGGGAGTGTGCAGGAGGCGGCTGATCGATGTTTCTCTCTCATCGATGTTTCTGACTCTCTGTCTCTCTCCCTTCCTCTCTGTAAAAAATCAATAAAATGTATTTAAAAAAAAAAAGAAAAGAAAAGAAAAAGCAATGGAAAAAGCATCCTCTGGTGAGGATAAACAAGCAAATAAATAAATAAAATGAGCATACTCAGGTGTTTTGCGATAGAGCCTTCCCCATCAAGTATTTTGAGGTTTCACTACAGGTGAGGACAAGACATGAATAGAATGGAAAATATGAAATTCCCAACTAATCCATCACCCCTCTTCTTAATTATAGCATTTGCTTCCTAACATTGCTTCCCATCCTACCCCCCTCTAGTCTCTTCTCAACATAGCAGCCAAAGTGATCCTGTCAAAAATAAAGTAAGATTATGTCACTACTCGGCTCAAACCCTCCAATATCTTCCTATCTTACTCAGAGAAAAGGCAAAGTTTCTAGAATGGTGTACAAAGATCTCTTTGATCTAATCCTCTTTTTTTGTCTCTGAGTTCATAGCAACTCTCCCCATTGCTCACTGCTTCAGCCAAAGTGCCTTGTTAGATATTAGGTACATTCCCACCTCAAGGCCTTTACACTTGATGATTCCAGTGCCTGGAACACTCCCTCATCTCCTTCAGACATTTACTCAAATATGAACTTCTGAGATCTTCCCTGGCTACTACCAGTATATTTAAATCTGGAACCCCAACACCCACCCTCCCTGAAAAAAATAAAGCCTTCTATCCTATGCTTTTCTTCATAGATCTCATCACTGTTGCAACATGCTATCTAAAGTGTCCCCCAAAAATGTATACACACTATAATAGCTAATAGCTCAATTTTGAAAATGAAATGTATTTTAATAAACACTGCCTTTAGAATTATTCAGTGTGTTTAAACATTTTGGGGGACACCTTATATTTATTTTGTCTGTCCAAACTAAAATGTTCCATGATTAGAAATTTTGTTTTGTTCACTCCTATGCCTAAAACAGGGCCCAACTTTATATATATTATATATGGAATCAAGAAATATTTATTGAATGAATGCATGGATGAATCTACACACTCGTTATTTTAAAGATGCAAACATACACAATTTTGAGGTCTAATTATTGATGGTATTTTCAAGTCATAGTCCTAAGACTTTTGTCAATTGTAACTTTTTGTTTGATTTACACATTTCCTGGGTCTAAAATTCCCCATGCTCTTGTCCATAAATCACAATTTAAAAATTAACACTAGATGGCACTCTTTGAAAGCATTCACCATGGAAGCATGTAGTAATAGGAAGATGGTATTAGAGGAAAATTTATTTTAAAAGCCCTTAAAAAGTACACATGCACTTCTGTTGAGTGTATTGGAAATATTAGCATACCCTAAATTTTAAGAAACCTTCAACATACTAAATTTCCTTTAATGTTCTAAATTCCGTTTTTTAAAATCAAAAGCAGAATAAATACTCTTTAAGCCTTTGGTTCTCAACTTTTTAAATAAAGAAATAATAACCCATTATAACAAATGTATATAGTTACTAAGATACTGTTTCAGAAAACCACTTAATAATGCAAATAATCTCTAATACTGTTTTATATTTTTTTATTAAAACATAACACATATGAACCATGTTTTGCTACTTCTTTAAAAGGTTATTTAGACTAGAAAAATTATTTCATGCAATTTAAAAGCAACTACTTTTTAGCCCATGGAAACCATTTTTCCCTGAGCTTAATTACTTTTTAAACCTAGAGCTGATTTATATAAAAAAGAGTATTAAAGCCCACAGGCAAAAGAAACCATTTTCTTTTGGAAATGGACAGTCTCTGAGGAATTTGTCCCTGCAAATCTAGTGCTGACTAATTTGCCAATCCTCTTAACTTCTTCTGACAGTGGGTTACTATAAAGATCCCTAAGTGCATAGGGGGGGGGATGGGGACTGAGGAGGGGGGTATAGGCAGAGAAAATGGGAGGTGATATCTGTAATACTATCAACAATAAAAATATATTTTTTAAAAAAGGTCCCTAAGTGCTTCAAGAACCAGATTTGAAATAAAACATGATGGATTTCATTTGCCCAGCAATCGAGGAAACAGTATTATGAGACCAGTCCTAACACTTAAACAAAATCTGGAAAGCAATGTTGTGCTATGCTATAGTTTTTGATTTAGAAAATGTAGAAATATTTTTAAAAATTAAGGTTCATGTATATTTGCCAATTCTAAGGCACAAAAGAACCTTGAGAACAGACTTTTACCTGTTATGTAAACTATTCTCTCCATAAGCACTTATAAATGCTAAATGTCAATGAGATAGAATAGTAATAATCTACCCATGGAGATACCTAAAAATTAATGATGCCTGAGAGAAAATGCAAAGTACTATTGAGTCTTAACAAAATTTATTTTTCCCAATACAGATGTTGATGTTTCTTCCTAGGGGATTAAAATGTTACTTAATGATCTTGGAGTTAAAAAAATTACTCTCCTTGGGCAATTTCTCCTCCTAAAGTACTAGTGTAATTCCTAAAATAAATACTAAGTAGTAACAAACTTGTACAAATTTTATGTTTTGGGCTTATACTGTGCCTTTAATTTTTCAACATGCTTGAAGTTTGCAAATACCATAGGCAAAGAAACTCTTCTTTTCCTTCTCCATGTCTATCTAGAAAATTCCTTTGTTCATTAATTTTGTGTCATGAGCTATAAAGAGGTAAGTAGGTTCTGTAGAATCGTCTCCTGGGTCCCCAGAGCTTCCGGGACCCAGCCCTTGTTACTCCATATTACATTCCTGAAATGAAGTGAGAAAGCCGCACACAAAACCATGAACTTTAGGAGCTGAACAGAGCGATGGAGTGTGCATCTCTTCTCTGGACATGCCAGTTCACTTGGGAATGTTGCAGGGGGAATAAAGAAGTTAAAAAAATGCTTAAGCCTTGGTTTCATTACTTGGAAATCTTCAAAGATAGTTCAAACAAAGTAGTCATAATTTTAATATTGTAGGCATTTAGACTTTTTTGCATTCTCATTCTAATTAATATATCTTAGTGTTGTTAAATTGAAACATTTCACATATGAAAAGGGAAATGAGTTTTATATGTGTTTTCTTATCTAACATAAACAAGAGAGAGAGGGAGGGAGAGAGAGAGAGAAACATATTGAAAATAAGCACATTTCTCTAGAAGCAAAAAAAAATGTCTTAAAGTTTTATGCTTAAAAATCAAGTCTGGATCTATAGCAACTAAATATTACATAATAGATAAGTTATCCTATATAATAAAAGCCTAATACGCAAATTGACCAACCGGTCATTATGACACACACTGACCACCAGGGGGCAGATGCTCAATGCAGGAGCTGACCCCAGCCCACAGGAAAGCCAAGACAGGTGTGAGCAGGGGTCCCCCCATTGCCCCGCCGGTCACCCCGCAGAGGGAGGCAACCAGTGGCGGGAAGCAGGGCCAGCGAGTGGGCAGTGCCAGGCTGGCCAAGGCAGGTGCCAGCAGGGCCCCCCAATCACCCCGCCAGTTGCCCCACAGATCAGCCCTGATCGCTGGCCAGGCCTAGAGACCTTACCCGTGCACAAATTTCGTGCACTGGACCTCTAGTATATTATATAATAAAAACAAAAAGTATATAACTGCAACAAAATATTGAATAGTTGATTTGTTTTCAAGTAAGAAAATATTACTATGCCTGGAATTTAATAGGAGCTTAATAGATAAATGAATAAACATAGAATACAATTCTAAATAATAGTATCTACATTTTATTTTCCACCCACTATGTATTAAGCACAGAGAATTTCAGGTATTACTTCTAATTTTTACAATCCTTGAAAGTACACTTTACTTTCATTACATGAATGAGAACCATATATCAATCCAAAAGATTTAATTGAACCTATAATGGAATCTTATTTGAAAACATTCAGGAATTGGTATTTTTCTAATGTAAATAGCACTGTTTTATAAACTCCAAATTTCAAAAATTGAAGCATATTGAAATTTTATTGCAGCAACCATTTCAGTTTCCTATACGCAACAGTGTCAGACCAGGGTGCATTTCATCTCCCTGTTTAATCTCAACACAGAACATATATGAAAAAATGGGCTAGACTCAAAGGAGTGAAAATTGGTGGAAGAAATATCTATAACTTAAGATGTGTAAATGACACCATCATTTCAGAAGACAGAAAGCAGTAATGATTTGAAACAGCTTCTGATGAAAGTGAAAGAAGAGTCAAAGTAGGACTGCATTTAAACATTCAGACAAAAATCATGACTACAGAATAAATAATTTTAACAGACAATGAAAACTGAAATTATTAAAGATTTTGCTTACCTTGGTTCAATCAATAATTCAAATGACTGCAGCCAAGAAATCAAGAGAATGCTGAGACTTGG